TCGCCTGTAGCAACATTTGTTGCATATGTTGCCACATCTAGTATATCTTGTAGCAACATTTGACATGCGTTGACACAGAAACAAAGAAGAGCAACAAATCACGCATTGGGGAATTTCTAAATAAGATTATATAATAGAAATCATCCTCAAATAAGAAAGAACATTCATTAAAATTCAACAACACAACGCTTAGCACTTCTTATGGGGCATTTCGATTAGGGCATGTAGTTTTTTTGTGGCCAAAGTCCCTACATAGTGAACCCTTATTTTTTATTTTTGGAAATGATTCACCAACTCCACGCCGTCTCTTATGTGTCCTTCTTCCAGGTTTACTTTGATCAACATACGGAGAAGTTATTTCTCTTTGTATGATATCTAAAGGGACAATCCAAGAATTTTCAGTTGGCACCGGATGAATTTCCTGACAATATGCCATTATGTATTTTTCCACTGAATAATATGGGGAGGAGTACAGGTAAATTTGATTTCTAAATTCATCACCATGTTGGGATCAAATTGCTGCCATGGCATGTGGACAAGGTATTTTGTCCAAATAAAAAATTCTACAAGTACAAGTTCTTCTTTGTAGATCCACAGTAGAACATCTCCATGAGCAGTGACACTGAATATTAGTTAGCGATTTGATGGGCCAACAATTTGTTGCCCGCGTTGACATACTGTGATATGTCTTTTTCAATTGAAGGAACAAATCTATTTGTGGAGTGCACCAGTTCCATACACCTCTGGTGAAATAACAATGCAAATCTCCTGTTTATTTCATCAAATAGAGTGACAATGGGAAATTCTCTTTCAACATCAAACATAACATTCACCAATTCCGCGATGTTTGACGTTATAATGTTATATCTACACAACAACAGATAAAAATCAAACAAAACACATAAAGTAAAAATAAACTCAACTGAGATGGTACCTATTTCCCGGGCAAAATGCCCTATCCATGTGTGAAATCTAATATGTTCAAGAGCTTCAACGACCTTTGGTACCAAATCTCTTATTTGATTGAAATAGTCATTGAACTCACATAAATCGCACGCCTTTGCTTCTTATTCTAATGGGTAATTATTAATCGAGAATAGTTTTAATCTAGGAATTATGGTGAGAGAAGTCCTAATTTGAATATTTGGAACATGGGTATGATCTTGGGTTAATAAAATTGTTAGTAACTTGGGTAATTAGTGATTGTTCATTGATTTTCATATTATATTGATTGTTTGTAGACCAAGAACAAGCGGAACAAATCCGAAAAGGGAAGAATCAAGTTTTGTAAGTGTCAAACTTGTTTGGAGGTAGGTCATGGCTTTGATTCTATTATTGTGTGATTTATATTTCTTTGCTTAATTATGATGCATGTATGTATGTGAATGTTGCATCGGTTATCACAAATGTTGAAAATGAGATAAATGAATGATGAATGACATCAAATCATGATTTAATTATATGATCTTGAGAATGTACTTGTGAGTGTGGTTGCGACTTGTTTAATGGATCGGGTGCTGCATTCCGACACACTAACTTGGATTGATGGCCATATTCCGACATAAATATGAGATCGATTGCAACATTCCATCATAAAAATTAGACCAGGTACTATGTTTTGGTATGCTAACATATTGGGTTTGGATTCATAAGAGGACTAATGGTTTGATACAATTGTGAATCTTGAGATATGTGAAACTGTACCTTGTTTGTAAATGTTTATAATATTGTACATGTTCGATATATGAATATGATTATATTGTTGTATTGCATGATGTATGTTATACTTAGTGGGATAGTTACATGATCTTACTAGTATATTGTGGTTGTATACTGGTACAAGATTTGCTCTTTCTTTGTTGAGTACAAGGTATCTTCAAGTGTCTATTGATAGACCTCACTTAGAAGATAAGTGATCATCGCTTCAAATTCAAGGGTGAGCCAGTTCTTTTGGGCTTCCTGAATTCTCTTTCCGTCTATGTCCACAGTCACGACTTAGGCTTGTTGTAGTTAGTATTAGTTCATTAGTTTGGGATTGCATCCCTTCTTGTTTAGACTTATGGTTGAACTTTAGATGTTTTGGTACATTGACTTTCAGGATCTGGGCATATTTTTGCATTGTTTATTTCTTAGAACTTTTGACAGTTAATGGGAACTTCAATTTTTATCTATTTAACTTGCTTGTGTAACTTAAATGCCTTAATTTTTATATTTGTTGCTTGGTTTGGACAATAGTAATGGTTCTTTCACTGGAGAGTAAACGTGGGTACCAATCACGATGGTTTGACTCGTGACATTATTGATATTAGTATTTTACCACATCGTTCCCATTAAATGTTTAGTTTTAGTTCTTGAAATATGATTTGGAGAATTAGTAATTGATGTTGAGTGTAAAACATGGAAAAATAATTGACTTTCTTGATAAGTCAAAAATGACAAGTAAATATGAAGATCTATTTTAGGAATAAGTGATAAGTAAAAGTGTGCAAGAATGAAGGCTGAAGAAAATGCTATGTAGAGACCGACGGAGGCGGTCGACGCTCCGTGGTTCTATCGACGGACCATCAGTGATGTCGTCGATTGAAGATACATTTCTGGACAGACTTTCCTTCTCTTAAACTTCTTTAACTTAGGACTTTGTTAATATAAATAGGGTTAAAAACCTCATTTTTGGGGTTGGACTTTTTATTATTTTTCATACTCTTCTTATTGGAAGTTGAACTTTGGATTTGGGAATTACTTTAAGTTTTCGGAATCGATTCTCAAGATAATTTCGTTAATTCAAGTGTTATTTCTGGATTTTCTTCAAACTTATTAAAGTAAGTACATGAATTCTTGTTTAACAACCATGAATTGTGTATTTCTAAGCATGGTAACTAAATTCACAACTAGGATTGTGGGAACCACGGGTGATTAAAAAGGTAAAAGTAGATAGATAACAATTTGAGAATATGTTCTTCCATATATTGATAATTCTTTCTTTTAGAAGTCTTTTTAACGAGTGCACGCATTAGAAATTGTCCTATTTCTACTTTCCGGACCAAGGAGGTAATTAATAGGTAAAGAGTTTTCAACACATATTTAGTTTACACTATCTTATAGACTAGTTTCAATTGGTGTGAAGTAGTAACTTAGCCATACATTGAATATGATGCTTAATGTGAGTTAAAAGGTAAGGGTTAGTAATTCAAACACATGTATCCGAATCAAGGTACGGGATGAAATTATCTAGTTTCCGTACCTAGGAATTATAGATACCTAACTTATCACTTTGCATACAAGACACAAGGAAAGAATTGTTATAGCTAGAATTACTGCGAATTGAACTTATGGGGAAAATTGACACCCTAGTTTGTCTCATCACTTTATAAAAAATGATGTTTTAATCTTGCTACTTGTCTACTTAGAAATAATTGAACATGTTTTTTCACAAAAAAACCCTCTTTTAATTAACTATTTTTTGGAAAGGACTTGACTAAATAGACGTAATCGTAGACTAAAGTTAAGTGTAAATCATTTTCCACGTGTGATCAACCCCAACCTAACAATTGGGTTGTCTACTTGATACGACCTCTTATACTTCTTTAGGGAAGTATAATTTGAGCGTATTAAATTTTGGCGCCGTTGGCGGGGAGAATGGATTTTAGATTAATTTTAAGAGTAATTACTGATGTTTAGTCAACAATTTCCTGATTTTACTTTTTCTATTTGTTTTTATGTCTTTTAGGTCTAGCCCTAGTGTATGCCAAGTACACAGAGTTGAGGAGAACCAATACTTTCATTTGATCAAGAACAGAAAAGTACACTCCGCAGAATGAACGAGAACACAATCCTGATAATTTTGGTTATGGGATCAACAATAAACTTCATCCTCCGGTTGATGCTCATAACCAAGTGATCGTGGAAAACCCTGATGAGGGTGCTTTGAAGAGACAATCTCCTGCCCCACGACCTCAAGAGTATTACAGGGGCAATGTTAACATCGCTGATTCGGATGGACCTCTTGTCCTACCTCCTCTACCACAAGGTCATTCATTCATGGTAACTAGTAGCTTGATGCAGATGCTCACTGTTAGAGGTTTATTTTTGGGGATACCATATGAGGATCAACATGCTCACATCGCCAAACTGAGGTCGATGAGCAATAATTGTGTAGGGAGGCTAGACTTGGAATGGATATCATTGTATTAAGGATGTTCCCTCTCTCACTGATGGGAGAGACCACAATTTGGTTTACTGAGTTGCCTTATAATTCGATCTATACTTGGGATCAGTTGAAGGATGTGTTCCTAGCAAGGTGTTACCCGATTTCTAAAAACCATAACCACAAAGATAGGGTGAACAACTTTATGTCATTGCCTGGGGAGTCGGTAAGTAGTTCTTGGGATAGGTTCACTTTATTTATGAGAAGTGATCCAAACCGCCGCATTGATGATGGATTGTTTAAAGAATACTTCTATAGGGTGCAAGATGATAGCAATAAGGCGATACTTGATACTACTGCGGGTGGTTCTTATGTGAGTGCACTTATGCAGAGATCACAGAAAAGTTGGAGAAAATTTCCCAAAACAACATGGCTTGGAGCACTAGGAATTCATACATTGGGAAAAATACCTTTGCAGTGGAAGCAACACACAACCTGATAGCATATGAGAGTAAAGAGATGGCTCAAATGAGAACTAAGCTTGGGTTAGTATTGAAACATGTCACTAGGGGTGCAAATAAAGTGAATGCGGTGAATTATTAGCCACCACCTCTAGTAGATGAATTGTACTATGGGGAAGACTTTTATGCAGTGAATGAGCAGACGGGGGGTTTCCAACTGAACTCCCAAGGCTCCAATTAGGAGAATTGGTGCCAAGGTCAAGGAAATTAAGGTCGAAACTATGGGAATTACAACCTAGAGGGTCAATATGTTCAAGATGGAAACTATAACTACGACAACAACTTTAACTGGGTAAATATGGTAACAAAAATGATCGAAGTGGGCCTTATGTTGTACCTCAAAATCAGGAAGTTACTCCTAAGGATGGTGGAGAAGTATGGCGCGAGTTGAGGATATGTTGCAAATAATGATAAGGAGGTTTAATTCTAGTGATGAGCACGCCAAAGAGTTGAGAGGTGATTAAGCTAATATTGGGAAAAAGGTGGATGCACATGCAATCTCAATCAAGCATCTTGAGCTGCGAATGGCCCAATTGTCTTTATTGTGAACCCACACCAACCGGGTACTCTTCCTAACAATACCGTCCAAAATCCAAAAAATGATGGACGTTGCATGGCAGTCATTGCTCGAGGTGGTAAGGCAAACCATTGATTCGCCTATGCCATGTGACGTAGAAGAATAGATGAGAGGAAATAATGAGGTAGTGGAAGTTAGTGGTGAGTTGGTAGACAAATCGGGGAAAGAAGCTGAGATACCCCAAAAGGTGACTCCCATTCCTAGACCACCACCTCCATTACTGCAAAGATTGGTAAAAAAGACTGAGGATGATAAATACCAGCATTTTATTACTATGTTAAAACAACTTTCCATCAATGTCTCTTTGATAGAAGCTCTTGAACAAATGCCCGATTATTTCCAAGTTTATGAAATATAAGGTCACTAAGAAGAGATCGGTTTGTTTTGAGGATGATAATCGGATACAACATTTTAGTGATATCGATACAAGGTCTTTTGTTCTAAAGAAAGAAGATTCGGGCACTTTCACTATTCCATGTACCATTGGGTTGTTAGACTTTGCTAAAGCATTATGTGATCTTGGGGCAAACATAAATCTCATACCTTTATCTATTTACAAGAAGTTGGATTTGAGTGAACCAAAGCCCACTGTAATGCGGTTACTGATGATCGATCGAACGGTGAAGAGGCCTATTGGGATACTCCATGATGTGTTGGTGAATGTGGAGTCATTTATATTCCCCGTTGATTTTGTGATTCTTGAATGTGAGGTGGATTTTGAGGTGCCTATTATTCTTGGGAGGCCATTCGTTGCTACTGGTCACGCCTTAGTTGACATGGAAAACGGACAGATGATGTTTAGGTTGAACAATAAATACGAAACTTTCAACATTTGTAGGTGTATGAAGCAGTTTGGTGAGAACCAAACGGTATCTTCTATATCTTACATGGTTGAGAGTATGTCTGAGGTATAAATCGAAGAACGCCTTGATGTTGAGGCACTAGCGGCAATGATCATGAATTTTGAGAGTGATGATATTAAAGAGTATGGGTCATTGGTTTTGGAACTTGATCGAGATGACATTCAGTTGAAACCAAAGAAGTTGGAGTTATATATGAAGCATAGGGAGTCTCCACCCGTGAAACCATCTATTGAGGAGGCCCCAAAATTGGAGCTTAATGCTTTACCACCTCATCTGAGGTATGTTTTCTTGGTAAAAGATGACACTTTACTGGTAATCATTGCATCAGATTTGAATGTGGAGCAAGTGGAGTGTCTGGTACAGGTTTTAAAGAGGTTCAAACGAGCCATTGGTTGGACTATTGCGGACATTATCGGGATTCCACCCGGTATTTGTTCACACAAAATCTAACTCATGCCTGATCATAAGCCTAGCATTGAGTATCAAAGATTGTTAACTCCACCAATGCAAGAGGTCGTGAAGAAGGATATTATTAAGTGGTTGGATGCCGTAGTCATATTTCTGATTGCCGATAGTAGTTGGGTTTGCCCTGTTCAGTGTGTGCCCAAAAAGGGGGAATGATTGTGGTCCCTAATGAGAAGAATGAGCTTGTTCCAATGAGGCCGGTGACCGAATGGAGAGTTTGTATGGATTACCAGAAGTTGAATGCATGGATTGAGAAGGACCATTTTCCGATGCCCTTCATGGATCAGATGTTGGATAGGTTTGCACGAAAGGGGTGGTATTATTTTCTTGATAATTACTCGGGTTAATACCAAATCTCTATTGCAAAGGAGGATCACGATAAAACCACCTTTACTTTGTCCTTATGGAAATTTCGACTTCAAGAGGATGCCTTTTGTGTTGTGTAATGCATTGGCTACTTTTCAGAGATGTATGATGTCAATATTCTCTTTATGGTGGAGGACACTATTGAGATGTTTATGGACAATTTCTTGGTTGTTGGTGACTCGTTTGATCGTTGTTTGAGTCACTTGGTCGATGTTCTCAAAAGGTGTGAAGATTGCAACCTTGTGCTAAATTGGGATAATTGTCACTTCATGGTGAAAGAGGGTATTGTATTCGGTCATCGCATCTTAGAGAAGGAGATAGAGGTTGATTGATCCAAAGTTTAGGTGATAGAGAGACTTCCTCCACCTATCTCTATAAAAGGGTGTGAGGAGTTTTCTTGGGCATGCGGGCTTCTATCGGAGGTTTATTAAGGATTTTTCAAAAATTGCATATCTTCTATGCAAGTTACTTGAAAAGAGTGTAAATATTTTTTTGAAGAATCTTTTATGAAGGTGTTTGGTGAGTTAAAGGAGAAGTTTGTGTCTGCGCCCATTATTATTTCCCTGGATTGGAGTAAGCCATTTAAGGTGATGTGTGATGCTAGTGGGGTTGCTCTTGGTGTAGTTTTGGGTCAAAGATGGGATAAAATCGTTCACCCCATTCATCACGCTAATAAGGCCCTTAATGAAGCTAAAAAGAACTATATTGTGACTAAGGAAGCGCTCCTTATGGTGGTTTTTGCGTTTGAGAAATTTTGCTCCTATTTTCTTGGCACTAGAGTCGTAGTGCATACTGATCAATATACTTTGAGATATTTGATGGAAAAGAAGGATGTGAAGCCAAGGTTTATTAGGTGGGTATTACAGTCGCAAGAATTTGACTTTAAAGTGAAAGATAGAAAAGGGAACGAAAATCAAGTTGCCACTTGTCCTGACTAGAGGATAAAGCTATGCGAGAGTTGGGTGAGAAGGATGAAATTGATGATACTTTCCCTGATGAGCATGTTTTGGCCGCTTCTCATGACTTGATTCCATGGTTCGCCGATTTTGCAAATTATTTGGCTAGTTATACAGTTCCATCGGACTTGTCCTTTCATCAAAGGAACTATTTCATGCATTTATGTGAAAATAATCTTTTGGGATGCCATATTTGTATGGGAGTTGTGCTGATAGTCTTATTCGCCGTTGTGTGCCAAAAGTATAGATGTTATGTGTTTTGGAGGCATGCCACTCCTCGCCTGTGGGTGGGCATCATAGTGGTATTCGGACTTCCCATAAAATCTTGCAATGTGGCTACTATTGGCCAACCATCCACCAAGATGCTCATGAGTTCGCCAAGGCATGTGATAGGTTCCAAAGAGATGGAGGTATTTCTAGAAGGCAAGAGCTCCCTTTAAATCCCATTCTTGTAATTGAGTTGTTTGATTTGTGGGGCATTGACTTGATGGGTCCTTTTGTGAGTTCTCATGGGATGCAGTACATTCTTGTGGCAGTTGATTATGTGTCAAAATGGGTGGAATCCATAGCACTTGCAAAAAATGAATGGAAGAGTGTCACCGAGTTCTTGAAAAAGAACATATTTTCCAGATTTGGAACCCATAAGGCCATTATTCGTGATGTGGGATCCACTTTTGCAGCAAGTTTTTCAAAGGGTTGTTAGTGAAATATGGGGTTCGCCACAATGTAGCCACTCCTTACCATCCTCAGACTAGTGGGCAAATTGAGGTGTCAAATAGAGAAATCAAGCAAACTCTGGCAAAAATGCTAAATGATAGTAGAACGGATTTGTCCAGGAGGCTTGATGATGCCCTTTGGGCCTATCGGACAGCATACAAGACTCCCATAGGTATGTCTGCGTAGGAACTTGTATATGGGAAGACTTGTCACTTGCCGGTTAAGTAAGAGTATAAGGCTATGTGGGCAATGAAGAAACTGAAGATGGATTGGAATGATCAGTGGAATAGAGATTAAATGGGTTATATGAGCTTGGTGAGTTTTGCTTGAAGGCATATGAAAGTTTAGCCTCTACAAAGAAAAATGAAGAAGTACCATGACCAAAAGATTGAAAGGCGCGAATTTGCGGTTGGGGATTTGGTGCTTTTGTTCAACTCTAGGTTGCGCTTGTTTCTGGGCAAAATCAAGTCCAAATGGACTGGTCCATTCTTGATCACTCTAGTGTTCCCTCATGGTGCGGTTGAGTTGGAGAACAAGTAGGGTGAGAGGTTCAACGTCAATGGGCAAAGAATTAAAATCTACATCGGGCATGCGGAAAATGCGAGTGAAGTGGTTGAGGCATACCATCTTGATGAAGTCTAAGTAATCAAGCGTCATGCGTCATGCCGTGATGTAAAATCAAACGCTAATTGGGATGCAACCCAATATGTATCCTCTAGCCAACATTAAGTTTTTCTTATCTTTATAGGAATAATTGCATTATTTCGGTTTTTTACTTAATGTTATGTGTGAATTTTGTTTTTTTCTTTTGGAGTGTTGGTTAGAGAGTGGTTTAGAGTCTGTGTCTAAAAGGCATCAAGAAAATACAAAAAATGGCTTATTGGGTGTTCAATGTGCAGGGATCAAACCTAAGGATATCTGCAGAAATTGGTCTAGTTCCCCACAACCCATGATCCGACCCGACTCGACCGGCTATATATTTTAAAAAACACCCTTTCAGTTACCCCCAACTTTTTAAATTCTTCCCAATCGTT